CAAGGGTAACACCAACTGGCAAACTAAGCAATAGTGGAGAGACTACATTAATTGCCCCTCCTTTATGGTAAGGTTGATGGCTACCTTATATGCCATCCTAGAACCTTCATCCAGGGACTGATGGAAGCAGAGACAGATACCCACAGCTAAACACTGAACTTCACTCCTGGAACCCAGTGACAGAGATGGAGGAGTGAGGAGCAAAGGGGTCAAGATCATGGTGATGAACCTCACAAAGACAGCTGACGGGATAAGGGAGAGCTCTTGAATCTCAGACTGATGGCCGAGAGGCCAACAGGGGACTGATCCAGACTCCATGAAAGTATTGTCAGTGAGGAGACCAAAGAAATCACTAGGACCTTGGGTAGTAGATTAGTGTTTACCATTGTGTATGAATGATCTTTGGGAGCCCATTCCAAATAGAGGGATGCTCTCTCAGCCTGGACACATGGGGAAGGACCTAGGTCTTGCCCTGGATGAAATGACAGACTTTGGAGATCCCCCCAAGGAGGACATCACCCTCCCTGGGGAATGATGTGGGGATTGGGTGGGGGGTTGGGAAGGCTGGTGGAGGAACAAGGGAGGAGGGGTGGGAGAGGGAGCTGGGATTGACATGTGAAGCATTCATGTTTCTAATTCAAATAAAAAATTTAAAAAGAATGTTTTTGTGACATGCATAAACATATATACATTATGTTTAAAATGCATATAATCTATAATATTATATAATATATGAATATAGGTGATGTTCTGTGTTTTGAACACTGATTCCAAGGTGCTTATAAGTGTATTCAAATGAACACTTTAAGAATGAATAAATTTCATAAGTGTTATCATAAGGGAATTAGAAAACAAATAAACATGTATACTATTAAAGGAAGATAAGATAGAGAATTCTGGAAAAATAGTATACATGAGATAAATATGTTATTAATGACAGTGAGGTACTGCAGATAGATGTCTCCAAGACAGGAAAAACCTATATTTTGAGGAACTGGCACTGGACTTCCAGTAGCAACTATGAGATTTGTGTTTGCCTTTGAGTTCTTGCTTATAGAAAGATAGTCCAATATAGGGGCTAAGTCCTTTCCTCTAAGACCCAGTTTCTTAAACCAGTGTATTCTGGAAGTGTTTGAGCCTCAGGAACATAGTGAAAACACTGTTGTTAGATTTGAGGATCATACCAGAGCAATATCAGAACAAAGTCAATGATACAGAACCTAAAAGCCTCAGACTTCCTTCAGATTTGGAAGAGTCTTACTCATGGAGCACCCCCAGGCCCTGCAGATGGAGATTAAAAGGCTCTGATGATGACCTTGGGGGTGGATTTGAGGACATGCTCAAAGGAAGTCATTATCCCATCAGACAATTCCATCATTAAGAAGGCCAGGCTGATTAGACTATTCTGGATGTTTCCAGATGTTAATTTGCATGGTCTACTACCATATGGACAATTTACAAGAGGCAGACAAGACAAGAACAGATTCCCAAGTCTGGCGAGTGCATTTATAGTTCCATAGGAGATGTCCTACCTCCTCTAAGACTAAGTCCAGAGTTTGAATATTGGCCCTTTGCTTCCTAATGTTATCTAAGATATGTTGCATATCAGATTTAGAATGCAGCCCACACTGTTTGGGGTAGACTAAAGATATCAGCAGGATAAAGTTTGTTTCTAGCTCTTCAATAAACGCTATTATGGTGGTGGCAACCATTTCTGCCAGACAGACAGATCATAGTCTCCATCAGAAAACCTCCTGGGTAAACTGGAGGGGGATCGTTTTTTATAAAATGATTATATAATTTCCCAGTCCAACTTGTAAAGATCTCAGCTTTCAATCCAAACAGACCATGCAACCAAACCCATAGTGAAAGCCATAATAGAATTAGGAAATTCATCATGGTGACCTCATAGGAAATTCATCACAGTGGCCTCATAGAGATTTGTGTCCAGAAACCATTGACTTAATCCTGGCATCCATTCAGGCATAACTCAATTTTTCCTTATACTGACCTATTTTTCTTTCAACAAAAAAAACGGAGGAAGGGCATAGCATTTTGAGAGACTAAGAAAGTGAAGTCCATACTTGACAGACAAGTTCCTAAAGGAATTTCTGCTAGATGTTCAATATTTTGAATCTGAGCCACAGTTTTGGCTCAGCAGCTGTGATGAGAGGTAGATGTGTCTTAGAAAGGAGGCAGAAAATGCTATTTAGAGAAAAGGGTCATTTGTTGTTTTCACTTCGCCTGCACATAGGGTTCATCACTCTGAGGCCGACTATTAGACTAGTTCCCCGTTTTATTAAACCATGATGTTTCTTTCAGCACCTCACTCAACTACCTGTCTCCCACTATCTTAAAGAACAGGCAGCCAATAAATACTTGTTAAACAATTGAATGAATGATGAACCAGTGTGCAAATGCCAATTTCCTCAAGAGGTGCAGTATCCAAGGCACCACATTGGATACAGAGACTGGAAAGATGCAGCATTCAAGGCTCCACATTGGACACTGAACTTGCTGGCACCTTGCTTCTTGCTTCAGGACTTACAGGCTCTACCCCTAAAATACAATTTGTCTGAACTGTTCCATGGTAGCAATACCAACAGGCTGCAGCAACTTAATTAGTCCTCAACAGTCCCCACACCCAGAACTGGAACTAGTGTTATTTCTACTGGGCATCAGGAGGGGACGTGACACTGCTACACACAGCTTAGCAGTGGGGATTCTGACTCTGGTTCCCACCTTTAGTAAAACTTAATTCTCTCTGGTTATCTCAATAGAGCCATTACCACATTGCTTAGTCAGTAAAAGGAATAAAAATATTTCTGTGACTGAATGACACTTTAGTAAACAAGCAAACTTCAACTGCCACATTGAATCCTCTGGTTATCTTAAAAATACACAATGTCAAGTGTATGTGGGAGAGGTGGGACAGGTGAGAGCTAGCTGATGACTATAGAGCATTTTCAAATCAGCTAGGGATGAATTAACAGGGCATATGGATGCATGGGAAATCCAATCACAAGGAAGTCGGAGCACCTGCCGGTGAGCAAGACCTCCATTCCCTCACCTTCCCAATTTTTCACTGTCATAGACCTTGCAGACAGTCATTTTTAACTGGTTTCCTCCCACTTGTCACAAGGTCTCTATCTGCCTGACCATAATGAGCAATTTACTCTTATCCATGAATAGAAATTGGAATTTAATTCACTTTTGTGACATTTTGAGAAGGGAGATGTTTAAACAAGCTATTTGGTGTCCTCTGCTTCACTATTGAAGGTTAATCACTATCCAATATGCATACTTTAGTTCCAAACTAGGTTCTTGAGAAAATGGAATAACTAAAGCACAAGTGGCAATTACTTGTATTTTAGTAGGCTTCTTGCCAGAGAAACATTATTAAGTGATATCTTTTCTAAGTTGGCATCCAGCTCTCAAATTTCTCTTTTAAAATGTGTATGCCATCTATTAACTTCTGTTAATTCTGCTCAGTATTGAAACCAGAAAGAAAGCAGAAAGAAGTCGTTACCACAGTAAAGGTTTTGAGGTTCGTATTTTGTAATATACAATACAGGTTATTTTACTCATAATCTTCTTTGCTTCAGAGATTTGTCTCCACTTGTATGTGTTCTGAACATTCAAACATTGCCTTATTAGAAATAACATTGACTTTTTATTTAGAAACATATCACTGGACTATCCAAATAAAGTTAATACCTTATATTCACTTAAAATTCTCTTTCAAATAATTTTATTGATGTGGAAAGATGTTTCTAATATAATGTGTATGACAAAATAGGTTCGACCTAACAGAGTAGACACATCACTTGTACATTTGCCAATAGACACATTTTGAGAAAAATGATTACAAAGAAATATACCAAATATCTGTGGATCATGACTTTAGAAAGATTTAAACTGGCTTTTAACATGTTCTATTTTTGTAATAAATACACATTAATTTTAAACTTTTCTTACTGCCTCATGAGTATCAACAATTTGTATAAGAAAAAGCTCTTATCTAAAATACAAGCACCATAAGTAGCACTGAATACTCCTTACATATCCTAATATTTTGTAACCTTCACCAGAGAATTATCATGGTTCCTAATTTTGGTTTTCAGCTAGTGTTCTTAGAAAGGGCACTGTGGACAATTCAGGCAGGTTAGCTATTTGGGGTGGCAATGATATTTTCACACATCGTGGGATGTTTCATAATGTCCTTGGTGTGTATCCCTGAATGTCAATAGCATTCACCTCTTTACCATGACATCCCAAAGCATCTCCAGATACATTTAAATGTCCTTGGACAAAACAATTCACCTCCTAACTAGAATTAGTAGTGTCCAATGTCCTAGTTCCTTTCAGTACAGATGCAGAACTGTAAGCCATACATGATAAAAAGAATAAAATGTTGAAATTATGTCTATTTCTACAACACGATTTTTTATTCATAGTCATGCCATATTATCTTCTATAAGCGAATGCGCACACGTGTGTGTGTTTATATTTTTAATAAATTTATTTTTATTTAGAAACACTCATTTTACATATCAACCCCCCATTCCCTCTCCCTCTCATTCTCCCATGCCCCCTACAAACATCCCCAACTCACCCACCACCCACTCCCCAAGGATAGTGAGGCCTTCCATGGGGGATCATCAAAGTCTGTCACATATTTTGGGGGAGGGCCTAGGCCCTCCTCTGTGAATCTGGGCTGAAATAGTATCCCTCAATAGGGAATGGGCTCCCAAAGTCCATTTGTGCATTGGGGATAAATACTGGTTCCACTGCTAGAGGTCCCATAGACTGCCCAGGCCACCTAACTGGTACCTACATCAAAGGCCTTGGTTCAGTCCAATGCTGGTTCCCCAGCTTTATTACTGGGGTTCCTGTGCTCTCATTAGGTCAGGTCAACTGTTTCTGTAGGTTTCTCCAGCACGGTCTTCAATCCTTTGCTCCTCCCTCTTCACAACTGGATTCCAGGAGTATGGATCAGTGCTCAGCTGTGGGTGTCTGCTTCTGCTTCCTTCAGCTACTGGATGAAGACTCTAGGATGACATATAAGGTAGTCATCAATCTCATTATCAGGGAAGTGCATTTAAGGTAGCCTCTACACTATTGCATAGATTTTTAGTTGGGGTCATCCTTGTAGATCTCTGGACATTTCCCTAGTGCCAAATTTCTCTTTAAACCTATAATGGCTCCATCTATTATGGTATTTCTTTTCTTGCTATCCTCTAGTCTTCCCTTGACTCAATCTTCCTGCTCCCTCATGTCCTCCTCTCCCCTCCTCTTCTCCCCTTCTCTTTCTCCTAATTCCCTCTCCCCTCCCCCATGTTCCCAATTTGCTCAGGAGTTCTTGTCCCTTTCCCCGTCTTTGGGAGACCATATATTTGTCTCTTAGGGTCCTCCTTGTTTCCTAGTTTTTCTGGTGGTGTGGATTGTAGACTGGTAGTCCTTTGCACTATGCCTAATATTCATATATAAGTGAGTATATACCATGCTTGTCTTTCTGTGACTGAGTTACCTCATTCAGGATGGTTTCTTCCAGTTCCATCCATTTGCCTGTGAATTTCAAGATTTCATTGTTTTTTCCACTGAGTAATACTCCATTGTGTAAATGTACCACATTTTTTAAAATCCATTTTTCAGTTGAGGGGCATCTAGGTTGCTTTCAGGTTCTGACTATTACAAACAACAATACTTTTAACATAATTGAACATATGTCTTTGTTTATTATTTTACCAGCAACAGTTTTTCCTCCCTCCTCTTCTCCCAGTCCCTCCCTTCACTTCTGCTGTGTCCCCCCATCCATGCCTTCTCCATTTCTATTTAGAAAAGAGCAGGCCTCCCATTGATATCAACAAAACATGACACATTAAGTTGCAGTAAGACTAAGAACTTCCTCCTCCCACTGTATTAAGGCTGAGCAAGGCAACACAGTATGAGGGATAGGGTCCCAAAGTCAGTAAAAGAGTCAGAGATAGCTCTTGTTCCCACCATAAGGAGTCCCACAAGAAGACTAAAATACATAACTATCACATATATGGCAAGTGCCTATGTCAGTCCTGTGCAGGCTTCCTTGTTCTCAGTTCAGTCTCTGTGAGACCCATTGAGTCCAGGATAGTTGATTCTGTGAGTTTTATTATGGTGTCCTTGACTGCTCTGACTCCTACACTTCTTTCTCTCCCTCTTCTGCAAGATTCCATATGGAGCCTGAACTGGCCATCTCCTGTGACCAGACTGATGCCTAGCCCAATTGTTATCAGAAAGGATTCTTCCAGAAATTGATGGAAACAGATGCAGACCCACAGACAAACATTAGGAACATCCTTGATTTATACAATTCCCTAAAGGTTTCTGAATAGAATCAGTACAAGGCAATATCATCTAAGTGAACTACTGCTGAGGAATATTAGTTTAAAATGTGTTGCATTTGTTTATGCTGTGTAATACCTGATGAAAAGATGTGTTACATTCTTTATGTTGCATTTGTTTAACTATATAAAGTTGTATTACTTTGCCTGTCTAAAATACGTGACTGGTCTAATAAAGAGCTGGGCAGTCAATAGCTAGGCAGGAAAGGGTAGACCGGGAAGTCAGGCAGAGAGAATAAATAGGTGAAGAAATCTAGGAGGAAGGAGAAGAGTGAGGATCAAGAAAAGGAGGAGAAGAGGAAGCCAGGGGTCAGCCACACAACCACACAGCCAGCCACACTGTAAAAAGGAAATAAAGTTATGTAGAATAAAGAAAGGCAAAAAGCCAGGAGGCAAAACACAGTTAAAGAAAAATGGGATAATTTAAGTTAGAAAAGCTGGCCAGTAACAACCCAACCTAAGCCAGGCATTCATAAGTAAGAATAAGTCTCCATGTATTTATTTGGCAGCTGAGTGGTGGATCCCCAAAGAGTAAAAAACAAAACAGAACAAAACAAAACCAATTACAAACTTCTCACTTCTAGGAAGAAAAGAGGGACTTCATCCTTGACAGTCTGAAGTCTAAAGTAAAGATGAGGGTTTGAGTTACTAAGCCATATTAGCATTGGGGTGCAGACCAGAGGATAGTTCAAATGCCTCATCACTATGACCATATATTTGCTTTAAAAGCATTTCTCCAAATAGTTATATATAATGATTGTTAAATCTAGCTGGTTAAAACAAACAGAAAACAAAGGCCAATGGTGTTTCCACACTGAGCAAAAGGGAACTGATTAGCTTCTTGCCTGCCCTCATCTGGTCCTTCATGTGACCCCCTACATCAGCAATGATGTTACCATGCACCTGCAGTCCACATTAGGAAGAGAATATTTTCATGGATATGCTCCATCCTTCATCACATACTTTCAGTAATGTTCAGTAGCTCCCTTTCTCTCTGTCTCCGTTTTCAGTGTGATACTCTCATGTTCCCACTAAGTTGGGTACCACAACAGCCTCCTTGTTGCTCTCTCTCTCTCTCTCTCTCTCTCTCTTCCTCCCTCCGTGTGTGTGTGTGTGTGTGTCCGTCTGTCTATCTGTCTCTCTCCTTCTCCACTATATTTTAAGGTTCAAAGTCATAAAACTTGTCTACCCCCATCTCTTCATCAGCCTTTTCATAGAGTAAGCAAACCATACTTACTAAGTAAGTGAACGAAGATATTCACTCTAGCTTTCTATTCACTATAGCTTTCTTCTGGATCCCTCACCAGGATGATATTCTCAAAAAATAAGTGTTATCATATCACTTCCTAATTTAAAATGTTTGATGACTCCTACCTTTTGGATAAAATTCCAGGTTAATGGCTATAATTTACAGGGATTATGGGTACTCCTGTGGCTTTTCTGATATGTCTTTCACAAGTTCTCCCCTTAATGATTCTGAGTATCTAGTGCCTAGAACACTCTGCTCTCTGGCCTCTAGGATAGTACACACACCATTCTCTTTCTCTAATAGCATAATGAAGGTTCTTCACCAATAATGTACCTCTTCCTTTGCCAAGGCATGCAGGGTTATGCCCCTTTCCTTGAATCAGGTGTAAACACAAGAATTTCTTCCTGGACAATGGAATGCCAGCAGAAATGACTGTGACACTTCTGCAATTACAGAACCAGTGCACAAATCATCCATTCTAAATCATATGCTCAATCATATATGTTATCCCCCTCTTTCTTTCTCTTCCTCCCTCTTCCTCCTTTTGTTACTCTCTGTCCCCTGTTATCCTTCCTCCTTCTAATTTTCCTATCTTCTCCAACTATATCCAAATCCCCTTATGTGTGTGCCTGGAATAAAGAAACCTTTCTAATAAATTTTCAAAATCACTTTACTTCTCAGTCCTACAATTCATTTATGCAATATGTGTTTATATAACACACATCTTGTTTGAAAATTAAAAAATACAATAAAAACAACCAATCATTGGCTGCTAAAATTATTGCAAAAATACAGGCTTATAGCTCTCAAGTGACATGCAGAGTATATGACTATGTATCTGGCTTTGTTGGCAGCAGTCTGAAGGCTCTGGCTAGTTCTGAATTGGTCCTGGATAGTGCCACGACCATTATCACTGCAGGGTGGCCTTTTGGAGTGTTGTTTAAAGTGTGGGAAAATAGCCACTGGAAGCATCCATCAGGAAAGACAGGAAAGGACATGAATTGTGATTATCCAGTTGGCAGTCTTGCCCACACTCCTTCCCTCTGTGTCTCCACATCCCTGCTTCCATCCCTCTCTCTCTCACTTGTAGTCATACTCTTTTCCTCCTTTTGTGAAATTCTACTTTTGACGAGTACTTTAAAAAACAAATTAGGAAGCATTTACTTTGGCAGCAAGTAAGGAAGAGATTCAGCAGCAACCCTTTCTCCTCCATATCCCTCCTGCTCATCTTCCTACCCATTCATCCTCCTCTTCTGTTTTCTTGGGGGTTAATTTCAAATACTATCAATAACCCAGCACATCATGAAACCATGATAATCTTTTACAAATGAAAATTCCTTGATCTTCTACATGGCTTGTAGGACTTGAAGTTATTTGCTTCTTTCTTTGGGGGCCAAAGACAGGGTTTCTCTGTATTGTTTTGGAGGCTGTCTTGGAACTTGCTCTGTAGACCAGGCTGGCCTCGAACTCACAGAGATCCTCCTGCCTCTGCCTTCTGAGTGCTGGGATTAAAGGCATGCACCACCAATGACCGGTTTTGCGTCACACCTTGCTTGGTGGCAAGAGTACCCAAGTCTATTCTTTTAGCAAAAAAAAATCAAATGTAGTACTGTTGTCTGTGGTCCTAGAGGTATATATGTGTTAGAAATTTGCATTTGCATCAAGTTCATACACCATTGCCTTTTCTGCTTTATCCCTCTCTCTTGACAAGGATAAGGATCTACAGTAGGACAGGAGGAGGCATCTACCCAAAAATACAGGCTGGGAGCAATTGTGCCTCGCAAATAATGGCCACACTTGCATTTGCCTACTCTGCTTTTTACTTCTGCCTGGAAAGAAAACATCCTTTTGAGTACTAAAAGGGTTACTCTCTACTGCCTCTTCCAGCTACCAATTGAAACAGTCTCTGCTCTGTTTTTCCCAGTGCTTTGACATTTTAGTAATACACTCCTCCACCTCTTTGAGCCCTGGGATTTTCCCCCTTGTTGCTAAATTGTACAGCTTGCTGCACTTTGCTGGCTTTGCAAATTGTAAAGTTAGGAATAAACTCCTTTGGGACTGATTATATTTTTCAAAAATCTGCATTTTTCTTAGTATTAATTTTCAAGGAGCATTTTTTTCAACTAAATACTGTTCTGAGTTTGGTTGGTCAAACTAAGTGTGTAGAATAATAAAATCCTTCAGGCATTTTGGTCATGAAGGAATACAAATATTAATTAAAACAAGTGTCTTTTCTGTGAGAGAGCATTTCCAAATCTTGTACTGACCCCAAGATACATTCACTTCTATTTTGCTTAAAGATACCAATTATCTTTTATTTCCAGTGAATGTCCACACCACAGTGCTGGTTCCTTCATCATTAATTGTTCTTCATAGTTCACACTCATGTAATTTGAAATGTAAAATATTTTTATAATCTGATAAAATGTAAGCAAATGGTTTATGTGTGTATCTATGAGGAGACTGAGTGGGGCAATTAGTAAGGGTTTATCAATAGTCTGCACAAAGTAAGACTTGAAGTAGGGCCCCGATGGTTTATCAGATGGGCACTCACTGGTGGAAGCTGGAACTGGGGACCTGGAATGCTAAGTTGTCCTGTGGTATTCACAGGTTTTAATAACCTTTCTGAACACCCATAGAGGAAGCATGTTTTAGTTGTGGCCCCAAATAGGGAACATTCAAGAATCAATTTTTCCTAATCAATGATTCAAATCAGTGAGTTGTTTCTGATTAAAAAAAAAAACCTAACCAATTTTTCAGCAGAATGCTGGGAAGAACAAAGTTTCTCATTTGACTTCATTGATTTAATACATCCTGGGAATAACAAGTACCCTGCTAGTCCCCAAACACAGAGAAAGAAGATGCATGCAGAGTAGCTGCTTAATAGAGGAAGTGTCATTTGTTAAAAGCAATGTCTGCTTCCATTTCCTTCGTCTCTTTAGGCACAGAACTAAGCCAAGCGTAACATCATTTGTTTCTGTAAGCACAGTTACGGTGCCATAAACAACCAAGAAGTAAATACATTTCTGCTGTTCAGCAAAGATGCATGCCTGTTCACAAATAGAGTCTCCCTGGTTTCCTCAAGCACACATTGTCTTTCCCTCCCCCCACCCCTCGAGTCAGGAAGGAAAGGGTCATACATGATTCCCCTGTCGAGAGTGCTGTCTCACTGACCTGGCCTGACAAGTGGCTGGCTGCTTGACTTAATTCATACTGAGTGGTCATGAATATTCATCTCATTCCATTTCTTTCCCCTCGGGGTCTGAGTACCAGCTTCGTTTACTGAACTTCTTAAGATATCTTTCCAGGCCCTGCAACAATCAGTAAAAGAAGCAGAGTGCAGGTGTGAAATGAGAGTGGAGAGTGGAGATGTGGGGAGCTTATTTCGAGAAGCTAGCATTTCTGAACCTGGGAGCAACTAAGAAGAGAAGATTTCTAACAAGTTCTCCGCAGAAATTAAACCATAATTTGGAAAGGGTGGAGGTACAATAAGTTCTTCTGCAACTTCTCTTGTGAGATGAATATATCACTAGACTGACAGGTCTATATGACTTGGCTCCTTTGTAAGTAATATCCAAAAACTGGTTTCACAGGGGAAAGGGATTGAAGAAACAGTTCACTAGAGAAGGAATATAGACAACCAATCAATAACTTAAAATATGCTTTAAACCCCAATAGTTCCTGATGCTTTGCAAAGTAAAACAACAATGGTAACGGAATACCATCATTGTCTAGTGTGTTTGGAAGTGGTAGGATTTAAGAGGGTAAGAAGGACATGGTTGTTTTGCCAACAACAGTTGTATACCTTTGTTGAAAGCAGCAGCTGGAGCTGGGTGGGCTTTGTTCTCTGCTTTTGGATCTGTAAACCTGCTAATTCCCACCAAGGATAAAATCTTAATCCTATTGTCTGGTGATCCTAGTCTGAGGGTAAAACTAACATAGGAAGAGACTCCAATCTCTCAAGCAATAAGCCTATTCCTGGTTACACCAATTTGATTTACAGTGTCCCAATTATTTATTAGTATAAATAAAAGAATGCTAACTACTTCATCTAATAAATCTGCAATGCTCATTTATACCAGCAAACCAGTTGGTGGCAATACAAACTGGAAAGACACTTTCCTGAGGGCAATTAGCAGCATGTACCAGAAATATTTTTTTAAATATCATACTTTTTTTAATCCTGTAATCCTACCTAGAGCAGTTTATTCTGAAGAGATAATCATAGGTAATCAAAAATGTGTGTAAATGACTATTCATAGCAGTTGTTTCAATAGCCAAAATGATCAACTTAATAGTCTTACATAATTGAGATTGCCCACATTTGGATGAAGCACTCATTAAAATTGTGCCTTCAATAATATTTAGCAATGACCATGAATGAAAAAAAGAAATACAACCCAATATAAAATAATTATTATGGTTAGTGGGATTATAGACAGCTTTTACTTCCCTCTAAGGCTCTGTGTTTTCCAAATTCTCTATAACTAGTATGCATTAGTTTCATAATTAAAAGTCATTCCTAGCACATGTGATAGCCATAGCTTCTCTCTCCCGACCCGTTATCATCTCTATCTTTCCAGGGGGCATCCCTTTTTCAAGAAACTCTCCTCTAGGGTTCTGGGAAGTTCTGGCAGGGACTAGTTACCTCACAAAATGTTCCCCTCCAATAGATTTCCACACTTCTCCATCTGAGACATGTGCAAGCTATTCTCAACAGCCCACCTTTATTCTTCAAGGTGTTTGTAAACCAGCAGTTTGAGCTCAGCCTCCTTTCTGGAAATCAAGACAAAAGGAAAGGAGAGTCAATGGAACTTGGGGAGGCCCCAACTCTACTGAATACTAACAGTATCTCCAAATCACAGATGTTTGGAAAGATTCGAGAATTATTTGCCATAAGTGATTATCCAACCCAGAGCTGCTTGGCCTAATCAGTACAGCATAAGGCATATACCAAACAGTTATACAAAATCTCTTTTGCTAAAGTTAAAGACCCTTCCTTCATTAATGGAAAGGAATGAGTCATCTTTCCCTAGTTCTCTTTGCTCTGAAGAAAATAGATTTAAAAATAAAACCAACAAATTGAAAGCAGCTTCTATGGGTGCAACATAAGTGGCATCTTCAATGTGTCACCTGAGAAAGTGGGACAGGTGTTGTCCTTATAGACATGTTTCGTTCAAGTGGAAGGAGTAAAAGAATCAATCCCTGGGTTCAGTAAATGAAAGGAAGCATTCTTTATGCTTGGAAACACAAAGGATTTGCCAATTTGAGGTCCTGACTTTTAGCTGGGGTGAGGCAAGTGACTCCTGCAAAAGCTGGGTTCCTCCTTGGTGACCTGGATATCAGAGAAAGTGCTGTTGCATAAAGCTGGGAAAGCAATGCAGGTGAATAGATCCAAGGTGGGATTACTCATTGGGATCAGACACTGGCCCCTGTGGAAACAAAATCAATGCAATGTAATTGCAGAGCAGTTAAGGTGATCTGCATCTTCTATAATTCAGGCCCTCCACCAGTGCTATAATAACTTCAGTGTGAATACAGGTGACCTGGAGAGAGGGGATATGAAGATGGCTCAACAGTAAAGAGCTCTTTCAGAGGACTTGGGTTCCATTCCCAGCTTCTGCGTGGTGGCTCACCACTGCCTGTAACTCCAATTCGAGGGGGTCTTTTGCTTTCCGGCCTTTGTAGGCTCCTGGATGTCTGTGGTGCACATAAACACATCCAGGTAAGTACGTACACACATAAAGCAAATAAATAAGTATAATTTTTAAATGTAAAGAAAAAGTATTTTAAAGTGCTAGTTCAGAAAGAACCTTTACCTTTGAAAAGCTAAACACCTAGCAGTCTCATCATTTTCTTTTTTGGTCAAAGACTTTTGAAAATGAGTACCTTTGTCTGCTGCAAAAGGGCTCTGAGTTTACTAGATGATATCCCTGAAGACATAGTTGAATGAGAGGATTTCAGTTACTAACACACATGAGAAAGAGGTAATTAAAAGAACCAAGGAGGGATGGTGGACATCTATATCAGTCACTTTTCTTATAAACATGCCTAAATACTAGACGAAAAATGTCATAGAGGATTTATTTGGGGTGGAAATTCAAAGGAACAGAATACCAGCACAGGAGAGATGGTATGATTGCACGACCAGCTTAGACCCTGGCACTTACCAGGAAGCAGATAATGGATTGCCTAGTTCTCAGCTTCTCCACTTTTCCTGTAGTCTAGGAGGCTATCCCATGAGGTGGTGACATCACATTCTAGTTGTGCCTTCCCTATTTCCTCTCTGGAAACATCCTCATGGATATACCCAAAGGCTAATTCATTGAAGCCCTATGTGTTTCTTAATCTAATCAAGTTGACAATTGAAATAAACAATCCCAGCCTAGAGAAGGAAGATCTTCTAGCCATAAGTCATCAGAGTCCGTCAAATGAGAAAGTGGTACCTACATTGAGCCAGAGGAAGAGAATAGGACTAGCCATAGACCTAATTTTCTCAGAGTTCTCCTAACCAAGATATCCTGATACTTTGGTACTCTCCCTAGAGTGACTCTGGTCTTGGAATTCTAGAACTCATTCACAATTCTAGTGATCCTAAGTCTACAATAGCATCATTAACTTGAGGAAATCAAGTGGACCCCAAATGTGTGGAGATTTGTAATTGCTATGAAAGGAGTCTAAGACCAGGCTCAATCTTTAGTTGAGGTGGTTGTATTGGACCAATATTATGGCAACAGCCAAAAATTGATGGGAAGAGAGAGAGAGAGAGAGAGAGAGAGAGAGAGAGAGAGAGAGAGAGAGAGAGAGAGAGAGAGAGAGAGACTCAGAGAGTGATAGAAATACAAAGAGACCAGTTTTTGACAAATGCAAAATGAGAGACTTCAAGAATCAACCAGGTATTGGTGCATGCCTGTAACCCAGCAGGAAAGGGGAAGACTAAGAATTCAAAGCCAACTTCAGCTGTAATAGATTCAAAGTCAGTCTGTGCTATATGAGATTTTGTTTCAAAAAGAAGAAAGGGTGGGGGTGAGAAGTAGGGAACAAGTAAACCCAAGGATTGGGCATAGTGACAAGCTGACAGTCCAGTGGGTCACTCTAGTTTCTTACTGGATGTGCATGCATAGATCACAGTTTCATACACAGAAAACTCTGTTTTGTAACTGGCAAAATTACAAAGTCTGTGTTTGTTGCACTATCTTAGTAACTAGCTAGTAATTCAGGTTAAAAAAAAGAACCCACCTACTCCATCCACATATCTCATCTATCAACAAAGCTGGCTTACTCCATCTTCCCATTATATCCACATTCGATCTCAATACTACCTACTATTGCTAAAATTCTTGGCCAGGTCACTTCTTTTCATACCTGGATCATTGGAAAACATGCCATCACTGCCATCCCTGGTTGTATACTTGCTTCTCCAGAGAATATACTCCATACAGCTGGCTGGGGCCATCTCATTGACCTGTAAGACAGATCATGCTTTCAAGTCTTAGTGTTTCCCATCTAAATTAGTCTAAACTCCAATGTGGTTTAAAAATGTATGTGCTCAATTAGTTTACTGACTTCTTTGTCCCCTATTTTATTCCATTCTAGCCATATTGACCTCCACGTTCTTCCTTAACGGGAAGAGAACTTCCACCTCAGGGCATCTGCACTTGTTGTCTACTCAGCCTGTAACTCTCTTCTCCCACATGATTTCATTGACTACGCATCTTTTGCGCATGCTGAGTTGACTCCCTTTTCCTAAGGGATGCCTTTTCTAATCAGCCTAATTTAAAATGCAAGTTGCTTACCTAGTAGCCAATATCCCCTGCCTACTCTGTCTCCATTTAGTTTTCTTCCTAGCATCTCCATTTTCTAGTGTGCTATAGGATTCCTGGTTGTCGATACCCTCCCACTGGAAGACAAACTTCAAAAGGCTTCTGTATACATGTTCATTGTCAGAGCTTGCAGATCCTGTGCAAGCACAGAGTAGGTGCTCAGCAAGTATGTATTGAACAAAATATTGATTCTCCAGAGGTTTTTGCATAGAAGTGCACGAGTTGCTTTGTCTATCCATCATGTTTCTGAAGGTATCTGTTTCCAACATAAGTTCTTTGAGCCTGACACAGTGGCAGAGGTGAAGCTCCCTTTTTGAAAAATCAGGTCAATATGATCTAAATACAATTCCAGGTCATTTCACAGTAACTTCTCCAAATAGTAGGTCACTTGTTTCTTTAAATTAGATCATGTCAATACTTCCAGCTTTGATCAATGAAGGTCAAAGTCTCCAGATATGTTTTAGCCTTAGGTATGTCAACTAGTAGTCCTGACAGACTCTGGGGCATTTTGCTGTCAACAGCAACAAAACAGAATAAACTTGTCCCATTGATCTGTTTCTTCTCTGAATCCTTGCTTGAAGATATGTCTTGTTCCATAGGTAACATGGAAAAATTTCCCTAATTTTTGATAGCCCTGCCATAGTATCTAAAATATGTTATTGAATATCCCTGTTTTTTAAGTCTGTCTTCTCCCATTAGAATGCAAATCCTGAAGTGCAGGTCATATTTTAATTCATAATCCTGCTGTCTATAGAGGGCCTGGAATATAGCAGAGTTTCAGAAAATACCAAAGGAACACAGTGAATAGATGCAGGGCAGTGACTAGTTGATCAAGTGTTGCTTTCTTGGGTCACAACCATGCAGAAAACAATAGTGAGATCATAGTGCAAACATTATCACCAACATCAAGGAACTATACATCTATTTGAAGCAGGTATTTGAGGCAATTGAACAACAGTTAAAGTGAAGGGATGTTAAGGACCATATGACAATTAATAGTAATAAAAGAGCTCAAGTTAAATGCATATTAGAGAGAGAGAAAAGTATAACCATTCATATTAGCATCGCTCATGTCTTTAGGGAAAATATGAACACAGAATTAAGTTTACAAAGATGAAATAACTGAATTGTAGTAGAAAGAAGGGAGTGAATCATAGGCACATTTGACCAGAGCAAATTCTGAGAAAGTGCACATGTTCACTCTACAGTGAGGTATAGATGAAATAAAGTCACTGAAAATGGGGAAATTGTCATTTGACTCAGATTTCTCATTGTAGAAGAGTATGAATTCTTGATTTAGACAAATAAGTGGAATGAGATGAGATGTGGAATAAGAACTAGGTTTATTTCCTTGAACATAGAGAATGCATTATAACAAAATAGACATGCCACAGCACTTAAAATGGCAAATGCCAAACTTAGTCCTCTATGTAAATGTGTGCGTATAAATATGTGTGTGTAAATGTGTGTGTGTGTTGTGTGCACGTGCATGCCCACACAACACAAGTGAACAGTGTATCACAACTCATTCATAATGAATGCTGGAAGGAAAGAGAACCATTAGCAATAAAAGGAAGGGTCAGATTTTAGCAACAAAAGCACTCAATTAGCTATCTGAGTGAGGAAAAGACAGAAGTGAAATATGACTTTGGTGTGTGATTTAAATAAACAATGATACTATTTAGCATAGTAAGGGATATAGGAATGGGAGATAACTAGTGGGTTGGACACTGACTTTAATGTATTACATGTTAAGAAGAATAGCTAAAAAGATATTGCTAGTATATTTAAATCACAGGGTCTTAAACTGTGCCAAGAACATTAAACTTGAAAGCAGTTAAGACTACAAACCCTTGAGATCTCTGAAAATCTCACTGTTCCAGATCTCTCCTGGAATCTATAATGACTCCCTCTATTATGATATCTCTCATCCTGCTCTCCTCTATCCTTACCCTGATTCGACCTTCCTGCTCCCCCATGTCCTCTTCTCCCCTCCTCTTCTCACCCTCTCTTTCTCCCATCTCCCTCTCCCCTACCCTCTCACCATGCTCCCAATCCCCTCAGGAGATCTCATCCCATCCCCCATGCATATCTCTCAGGGTCCTCCCTGTTTCCCAGACTCTCTGGCAGTGGGATTGTAGATGGCAATCCACTGCTCCATGTCTAAAATCCATATATGAGTGAGTACATACCATGTTTGTCTTTTTGTGAGGCTACCTTAAATACCCTCCCCAGATAATGAAATTGATGACTACTTTTTATGCCACCTAGAACCCTTATCCAGTGGCTGACGGAAACAGAGGCAGACACCTACAGCTAAAAAAACGAACTGAACTCCTGGAACCCAATTGCAAAGAGGAGTGATGAGCAAAGGAATCAAGACCTGGCTGGTGAAACCCACAGAGGCAGCTGACCTAAACAAGGGGGAAATGCATGGACCCCAGACTGATGACTGAGAGTCCAGCATGGGACTGATCCAGAATCCCCTGAACCTGGGTGTCAGAGAGGAGGCCTCGGCAATCTATGGGACCTCAGATAGTAGATCAGTATTTTTCCCTGGCATACAAATGGATTTTGGGAGCCCATTCCACATGGAGAGATGCTCTCTCAGCCTAGACACATGGGGGAGGGCATAGGCCCTGCCCAGGATGATATGACAGACTGTGAAAATCCCCCATGGAAGGCCTTACCCTCCCTGGGGAGCAAAGGGGGGATAGAGTGAGGGGTAGGGAGAATTGGGGGGACAGGGGAGGGAGAGAAGGAGCTGGGAGTAACATGTATAAAAAGTTAAATAAAAATTATTATATAAAAAAGACTATATTAACAGTATCAGCCAGACTCCCTGTCTTTAGTAGCCACATGTGGCAAGTGGCTACTTTATTACACAATGCAGACAAAAACATTTGCAACTTACCAGGAGGTTCTATTCAACACCATTGAGCAAGAGTTCTCATATGCATTTTAGGGTTACTTCAGCTACATACCAAAACCCCCCAAACAAACAAATACAGCAAAAAAAAAACACCTAGTCAAGGGGAAACAATTTAGGAGTCAAGGGACCTCAGCATATTTGTCAGTTGAAGAAAAGACAATGTTGAAAAGGTAATGAAGTTAAAAATACAGATACGGAGGAGAGGAGGATATAGAGCGGGTGGAAGGAATTGGGTCGTAGGGAAGGCTGGAGATGCTACCTTGGGAAGGAAGTTGAACAGTACAACCGAGGATGAATGAGCTGGAAGACCCAGGGGAGGATGTTCACGGCGGGGGTGGTGTGGATTGCTGCTGCATCTACTGAGTATCCAAGGCTGAAGAATGAAGTTTATTCAGGGCAGGAAGACTTACCTTTTATTGTCTATTCAAACATAAATTTTGAGACCATCTCATTAATACCTAAAACCCACTGATTTCTAAGTCTTCTAGCAAGGCTTGAACCTATTAGCATTCCACAGCATCTGTTCTTAAGGATTCAGGGAACAGTGACCAGGGCAATAGCTTTGTTCCCATACCCCCTAAAAAAGAATTACAAGAATGTGTAGCAAAAATCCTCAATTAGAGATGCTGTGAGCTTGTGGATTGTGGCCGCAAAGAGAGCAGACAGATGCGACAGCTGCTTGATTACAAATGATGAGCATAACTAGGTCTTTTTTAATGTGTAGAGAAGTTAAATAAGGAAGCGGAATCACGAAATTGTCCATGAAAATTAGTTAGGCAGGAAGTGTTGACCTCCTTACCCCTAATGCTAAGCTCATTCTGGAAACCCACATCATTATCTCCTTCCCTGCCTGAAGTTTGCTTTCCACCCTTGTCGTTCAACTGACACTGCAGCGCCAAAGGTCACCAGAGACTACCTAATGGTCATATTCGGCACGCTCTCCTTATTTCTTGTTTCTG